CTACAAGAATCCAGCTCCACTGGTGGAAAAAAATCCCCTTTTGAAGTCCTAGAATGTTTCCCGAGGGTCCCAATTGCACCTCCAGGGTTATCAGCCCACCAAACACGCCTCGGTGTGTTCCGAGGTGGGCGATGGGGCGCACGTCTGGGCAGCTGTGGTGGACGCGGCGCGCGCGGCAGTGGGAGCTGTGGCCTGGCGAGGCTGAGCAGCCCAGGGCATCTCTTCAATTGCAGCTCGGAAGCGTTTCAGAAAGGTGGCCGGAAAGGGGCAAAGAGAGTAATGATTGTAATCACAGATGGAGAGTCGCACGACAGCCCAGACCTGGAGAAGGTGATCGAGGACAGCGAGAAGGACAATGTCACCAGATACGCCGTGGCCGTAAGTGATAGCAAAAGCAGAGCTCAGCGGGGCCCCACACCCCCCAGTGCAGTGGGGCTGGCAGTACAGCCCATCTCCACCTCTCCCAGCACCTCCACAGGGGTCCTTGCTGCCGGTCCTGCTTTTGGTGGCATGCTTGGCTCTGGATTCAGTTTCTGGAGCAGACACCAGGGACAGGCAGGACCCTGCATTACGCCAGGCACCCAAATTGAATGAGAGGAGCTCATCCTGGGTTGCCTGGATGAATTACAGCAGCTCCTCAGATTCCTCCCACAATGAGGTGTCAGGTGCCAAAAATGTCAGGCTCATTCCATATGGGCACCCCTCAGGTGCTTTGGGTTGGCTTTATTCATCACACAAACACCCAAGTCTTGCGTTTCTCTTTCAAACCTAGGTATTGGGTTATTATAACAGAAGAGGAATCAATCCCGAAGCCTTTTTGAATGAGATAAAGTTTATAGCTAGCGACCCGGATGACAAGCATTTCTTTAATGTCACAGATGAAGCAGCACTCAAGGACATTGTGGATGCTCTAGGGGAAAGGATATTTAGCTTGGAAGGTGAGTGATGCTCCTGCCTGACACATCCTGCCTTGCCAGGTTGCCTCAGGTGGGCTGTCAGACAGAATTTGAAAGGATCACATCAGGGGTTATTAATGTCTGTTTGATACAGAACCTAAAATCATACTTTGAATAGCTTCCTATATAAGGAAACATCTTTATTTTGAGTGCATCCTTCAAGCATCAGGAACACAGATCCCCTCTCTCCAAAGGACACCCCTCATCCTGGCCGCTGCTATTTGCAGAGCTGTGGTGGCTTCACCCAGTTGCAATTATGAAGCAAAATCCTCTAAATCCACATTTCTGTGTGATTTTGCAGCTGGGAAAGGACAGAACTGCACCAGGACAGAGCTCCCAGTGCCTGTTAGCAGCATGAGTTCATGGAATTGTAGTGATTTAGGGAGAAACAGGCTCATTTGTGGCAGCTGAGGTCCTCTGTGCTCCAGGTGGGGTAGAGGTGGATGCTCAGCCCTTCTGGGAAAGCAAAGCTCTCCATT